ACAAACACATCAAAAAACTTCACAAAATTTACCATGTGTTTTTATGCAAAGAAATCAAAATTAGATGTGAAAAAACACAACACCCCTTGATACTTTCTCTCTCCTATCTCTTATCGCTACACCCATAACAACTTCTTCTTAGCACAAGATAGAGAGTGGTGTAACATCCTTAGCACCTCCCACTCCATATAGCTTTATTATTATTATTATAAATTTCGATAACCGTATAAAATTCGGACGACATTATAAAATCGGACGACATTATAAAATTCGAACGACTATATAAAATTGAACAAAAACAAAGTTTATCTTTATTTATCACAAATATTAATTGGTTCGGTATTAAGTTTTAATTTTCAATATGAAATTGTATTTGTAGTGTAATTCCAATTTTTTTTTTAAATAATAAGAATAATCTAATAAATAAAACAAAAGCAAAAACATAAAAAAAAAACAAAAAAAACAAAAAAAAAAAAAAAATGGAAAGAAAAAAAATGATGTCAAATCAAAGAGTAAATAATTGATTAGATTGAGGTAAGGAGGTAAAAATGGTAAAGAGAGCACAACCCTTAAAATTAAAAAAAATAAAAAGTTAAAAAAGAAAATGTAATTAATAACGAGGAGTGCATATAAAATCATCATAACGTAATTAAGAAGTATCTATTTTTTTTTAAAAGACCGTTATGTATAAAATCTAAGAATTAAAATAGTGAGTTTCCACTTTCCGGGGACAAAAACATTTATCGGATTCCAATGAAAAAACAGACAATTGAAGAGATTTTTATAATTTTGTCTCAAGTTTTAAATTTTGTTATAAATTTTATCTTTTTTTTTTCTGAATTCTGTTTTTTTTTTTTTAAATAACTTTTTGTACAACTATTTCTCCAACTTTTTTTAAATAATTATTACATTTTTTTCATTACTTTTTATATAATTTTACAATTTCTTTATAAAAAACAAATATATATATAATATATATATATATATATATATATATATATATATATATATATATATATATATATATATATATATATATATATATATATAACTCCTATTTGCAAACGATAAGAGGAGCAGTTCATTAACCTTTATTTCATTAGCAAACTCATTCTGGTTTTCAGCCGTTATTTTCGGTTTTGGAGAGACTTTGCTCGAAGTCAAGCACATGACTTTCCTCTGTTTTGCATGGAAGACTCTCAGTGGAAGACTCTACTCTACCTTCTGACCTCCGCCTGCCAAAATGGAAAAGTGAAGATCGACGCTAATCTATAGTAATAATTGGAGAATATCAGTTGACTTCATTGTATGCGTATTTCACAAAATTCCATTTGACCTTGTGATGTGTTCTCATTTGCACTCTACACGTTAGGCCTCTTTCTCCATATGTATGTGTAAGTGTAACTCCATTCCATTTATTCACTTCACTCTGATTAATGACGATTAGAACCTGTACACCTTTGATTCTCAGTTTGGTAATTTGGTTAATAATCTAGGGTTTACAATGTCAATCACATTGTTTGTTTCATCTCATCTGTTGGTATATATAATAAACCTAATTTCGCACTTCCTTTTTTGTTGGCATCAGGTAAATGTAGGCGGATTCACATTGCTACTAACCTTATGGGGTTTCTCAAGTCTCCAAGGCGTCTGCTCACATGGAGTTCATCCTTTAGCCAGAATTGCTATAGAGATGACTGTGTTGGACCTCAATGATTCTGCTTCCAGTGTTAAAGTCTCTCCTTCAGTTCTTGGACCAGGGGTATGATTTGATCTCATGAAACTTTTAACTTTTTCCTTGCAAATATGAAATCTGTAAATGATGTGTTATAGGGGCAAAGTTTTGATTGGGTGGATGTTAACATAAGCAATTCAAATCCATCAGATAATGATTGGATTGGAGTATTCTCTCCTTCTAATGTCAGGTACATTGGTTGCATTTCATTATTATGGCCAAAATTTCAGATTTATTTGTGATAAACCCTTTCCCTTAAACTATTTTCAGTTCTTCCACATGTGCCCCTGAAAACCCTAAAGTTCTTGCACCATTGTTATGCACTGCACCAATTAAGGTTTGCCCTCACAATTCAAAATCCTTCTTGCTGAATTTCTATCTCTTTTATCTTTTTACTATTATTTTGAAGCTTATTGTATCATTTCTTGGCAGTATAAGTATGTAAAAGATGGAAATCCAAACTATAAAAATACAGGAAAAGCATTATTGAAGTTTCAATTGATCAACCAAAGATCAGACTTCTCTTTAGCCCTATTTTCTGGCGGATTATCACAGGTTTGAACTCATATCAATTATTATTCAAATGTAATATGAAAATGACATTTACTTTTGAATCTCATATACTTTATTAACAGCCAAAGCTCGTGACCGCTTCAAATACAATTGCTTTTGCAAACCCAAATTTACCAAATTACCCTCGCTTGGCTCAAGGAAAGCTATGGAACCAAGTAAATACTCTCTCTTGTTGCTAATCTGAATACATATACACCAATTCCAAAAGGTTTTTCTTTTCACCAATATAACCTATTTTCTTGAAAAAAAAATTACAATTCTTAGATGAGTGTAACATGGACTAGTGGATATGGAGTAAAAGAAGCCAGACCATTTGTTGAATGGGGTAAAAAAGGTGGAAATCAGAGCCTTTCTCCTGCTAGTACTATGACATTTACTCGTAACAACATGTGTGGTATGTGACCACTTATTTCTTTCTTTTTTTTTTTAATTTTTTTAATAATCATGTATTATGTTATTTGTAGAAAATAATGTGTAAAAATAAACCAAGAGTCACAATCTTTTTGCAGGAGCTCCAGCAAGAACAGTAGGTTGGCGTGATCCTGGATTCATTCATACAAGCTTCTTGAATGGACTTTCTTCCAACTCATTGTATGCTACACGTTTTTATAGCATGTGATTTTATAAAAAAATGCTAAATTTTACACATCTTTAATCATTACAGTTACACCTACAAGTTAGGTCATAAATTATCTAATGGAACAATCATTTGGAGCAAGGTGTACTCATTTAAATCCTCTCCTTACATTGGTCAAAACTCTCTACAACGTGTCATCATTTTTGGTGATATGGGAAAGGTTTGTAATTTTCTAATGACTTAATGGATTAAGCTAAAAAACCTGGCTTAATGTATTAAGACACCAACCCTTTACCTACTTGGTGATTTTTTTTATTCATATGATGCAGGATGAGGTTGATGGGTCAAATGAATACAATCAATATCAATATGGCTCCCTTAACACTACCACACAACTTATTAAAGATTTAAACAACATTGACATAGTTTTTCATATTGGAGATATTTCTTATGCAAATGGATACCTCTCTCAATGGGATCAATTCACTTCCCAAGTTGAGCCAATTGCTTCATCTGTACCTTATATGATAGCAAGGTAACTTTATCTTACTATAATCATCCACAACTCTTACACCACAAGGGCAAAATCGTCACATTCTTTTCTAAATATTGCAGTGGTAATCATGAAAGTGATTGGCCCGACTCAGGATCTTTTTATGAAACTGAAGATTCAGGAGGCGAGTGTGGTGTTGTGGCTCAAACCATGTTTTATGTCCCTTCACCAAAGAGAACCAAGTTCTGGTAAGTAAGTCTATGGTTTGAACTTTGAAGGGTATTTTGGTCATTTTTCCAAATAATCTTGATTTCTTGGCTTCAGGTATTCGTCAGATTATGGGATGTTCAGATTCTGTGTTGCTGACTCAGAAAGTGATTGGACAGAGGGAAGTGAGCAATACAAGTTCATCAAACAATGTTTGGCATCTGTAAACAGGAAAAAACAACCATGGTTGATCTTTATAGCTCATCGTGTATTGGGCTACTCTACTTCATGGTTTTATGATATTTTAGGATCATATGGTGAACCTGATGGAAAAGAGAGTCTTGAGAATTTATGGAAAAAGTATAATGTTGATATAGCCATTTTTGGGCATGCACATAATTATGAAAGAACATGTCCTATGTATCAGGTATATGATGTCTAAGATATCTTGTGTTACTTTATAAGTGTTTTGGATATTGTTTTTAATGTTTTTTTTGGATTCAGAGTAATTGCACAAACAATGGAAACCCAAATTACAGAGGGAGGTTGAATGGGACAATTCATGTGGTGGCTGGGGGTGGAGGTGCGAGTCTTACACAGTTTGCTCCGGTTAGCCAGAAATGGAGTTTGTTTAGAGATTATGATTATGGATTTCTAAAACTTACATCATCTGATCCTTCTAAGCTTTTGTTTGAATACAAAAAGAGTAGAGATGGGAAAGTCTATGATTCATTTACAATTTCTAGGGAGTAGGGGGTCATAAAAGACATTTTATTTTGCATAATGGTAATGTGTTATGTGTTAATGTATTTTTGTTTTGTTTTTGAGTCTAAGAGACTCATTAATGTTGTGTATTAACTATTGAAAATAAATGAATCATGTGAAGGAGAACATGTTTATTGTAAACGCATAGTTTTCGTTACAAACATAGAACATGTTTGACAAAACGAGCTGATAGCTGTTAGCCGGAAGATATAACTTTTATTTGTATAGAAGTGTTCAACAAATTTTTAAAAGTGTAAAATTATATAAAAACCAAAAGTTAAAAAAATCCGAAACTTGAAGTAGTTTTTGGATTATGAGTTTTTTGTTTAAAATAGAAACTAAAATATGTTTTTGTTGAACGATTTTTTTTTTCAAGCTTTTTCTTAGAATCTAAAAGCTAAATGCATTAAAAACTCTTTGCAACACGCCTATAATATTGAAAAAAATAAGTTTTTTTTTGACACTTTTACAATATGAACCTTAACCAACACAAATGAATCTTAACAAACATAAATGATTTATTAATAAAAACTTTTATAAATATACCATCCGAATGATCTAAAAATTAAGTCTAAAGTTATCCTGTTTTTTGTTTGATCATTTGCTTAAAGGAACATGGTGTCCAACAGAAATGATTAATCTTCGCAATCACTAGATATGCTTTGTTTGAATTTCCCTTTACTCCATTTATGGTCGCTTATTATACTATATATCTTCTTCAACTTGACATTCTAAAATTTATCTTGTGTTTACACTTCTTCTCTCTATCTCTCACCGCTTCTGTATATAAAGCTGCGCATTTATAGACTATATGCGCTAATTAAGATTAAACACAATGGTAATCAGTTGACTTGTTGGTATTTTTCTTAAGATTCTATTCATTCCATTTGGATCAATTTTGCTCGCTTTTGTAGCTATGATTCTAACTACACGGATATATGCAGGCAATGGGGTTGAAGTTGCTAGCATTTTTATGGGTTTTATGTAGGATTGGAGGCGTAGCATCACATGGAGATCAACCTTTTTCAAAAATTTCAGTACATGAAACTGTGTTTGCTCTTAACGATGCTGCTTATGTTAAAGCATCTCCTCTTGTTCTCGGATTGAAGGTAGCTTCAAAATTAACGTCTTCGATTTACCATTACATATAAGGCTTATAATTCGAATCACAATCGGGATTTTGGATTAAAATCTGTAACTATATCCAGGGGCAAACCTCCGAATGGTTGACTGTGACGTTGCACAATCCAATTCCATCTGTTGATGATTGGATTGGAGTATTCTCGCCTGCAAATTTCAGGTATTTCTGATTCAATCGAAATTAATTATATCAAGTGTTTAAAATCTTCCATTTTCGTTGTTTTCAGTGCTTCGACATGCCTCCCCGACAGCTCAATGGTCGCTCCTCCATTATTGTGCACTGCGCCTATCAAGGTTTATTCAGTTTCATCGATACCTTGATTTATTTCATATTTGATAAACTACAAATAAACCAAATCGTGTATCCTTTTTCAGTTCCAGTATGCAAATTATAGCAGTCCTAACTACAAAGACACAGGAAAAGCATCGTTGAAATTTAGATTGATCAACCAAAGATCTGATTTCTCTTTTGCATTGTTCAGTGGTGGATTATCCAAGGTTTTTGCTCATGGCTTTCTGTCATTTTCATCTTCACCCTTTTTATTCTATCTTTCAGTTCCAAATCTCTAACATGAAATTAAAATTTCATTATGAAATAGCCAAAACTTGTTGCAGTGTCGAATTCAGTTGTTTTTGCATATCCAGATGCCCCAAATTACCCTCGATTAGCTCAAGGAAAGATGTGGAATGAAGTAAGTTTATTTCTACTTCAGTCTTCATATGCTGTTTTTACTTCTTTTACTCATTTCCACAAGTATAATAAATAATAATACTCATACATTAGGAAAAAGCAAATGAGTAGTCATTTCACAAGTTTTGTGCCATCTACTCACTTATCCCATTAAGTCAATCTTTTTGTATCAAGTCAAAAGGATACATTTATATATACTAAATGAGTACTAATGTCTGTCTTGTGGATAAAGTGTTGTATACACAAAGTCTGTTTTTTTTTGTTTTTGAACTGGATAAACTGTCTGAATCAGATGACTGTAACATGGACAAGTGGATACGGAATCAACGAAGCTGAACCTTTTGTGGAATGGGGCCGGATAGGTGAAGAGACACGGCGTTCTCCTGCTGGGACACTGACAATTGACCGAAATAGCCTTTGTGGTATGCAAATAATATTTAAATATCAAAATTCATGTTAAGTTTGACTCTCAAAAGTCAAATATCAACACTAGTTGGACAAAATGAACAATTTTTTCTTTTTTTTTTTAAATTTTTAGGAGCACCAGCAAGAACAGTTGGTTGGCGTGATCCTGGATTCATTCATACCGGATTCTTACATGAATTATGGCCCAACTCAGTGTATGTTGACTCTTTTTTTTTTTTTTTTTTTAAATAATAAATTTGATTTTATATGTTTTCATAAAATATATCAAATCTTTTTCTCAATGTTCTTTATGCAGGTACACATATAAATTAGGAAATAAACTTTTAAATGGTACTTTTATATGGAGTCAAGTTTACCAGTTCAAATCATCTCCTTACCCGGGTCAAGATTCTCTACAACGTGTGATCATTTTTGGAGATATGGGAAAGGTGAGGGACTGTTTGTGAAAATTTAGTCCATATGTTTAAACGTTTAATAATATTGTTTAAATGTTGCAGGATGAAGCTGATGGGTCGAATGATTATAACAATTATCAGCATGGATCCCTTAACACAACTAAACAACTTATTAAAGACTTAAAAAATTATGATATAGTTTTCCATATTGGAGATCTTTGTTATGCCAATGGGTACCTCTCACAATGGGATCAATTCACTGCTCAAGTTGAACCAATTTCCTCTACAGTACCTTATATGGTAGCTAGGTATTTCTTCTCAAAAAAAAAAGTATAATGTTAAATGTTCTACTAAGAAAATATAAAAAGTACAATGTTTTAATATTAAAAAAAAAAATCATACTTTGCAGTGGTAATCATGAGCGTGATTGGCCGAATTCAGGATCTTTCTATGAAAACAATGATTCAGGAGGCGAATGTGGGGTTTTGGCAGAAACTATGTTTTATGTTCCTGCTGAAAACCGAGCAAAGTTTTGGTGAGTTTTTTTTTTCTTTTAATCTTTATACGATAAAAAAGCGTATTTAAAAAAAAAAAAATGTTTGATTGATTGTTGAAGGTACTCTACGGATTATGGGATGTTTAGATTTTGTATTGCTGACACTGAACATGATTGGAGAGAGGGAAGCGAACAGTATAAATTCATTGAGAAGTGTTTGGCGTCTGTTGATAGACAAAAGCAACCATGGCTTATTTTTCTTGCTCATCGTGTATTGGGGTATTCATCCACTTCATTTTATGCTGTTGATGGAGCATTTGGTGAACCAATGGGAAGAGAGAGCCTTCAAAAGCTTTGGCAAAAGTATAAAGTTGATATTGCCATTTATGGTCATGCACACAATTATGAAAGAACGTGTCCCATTTATGAGGTATATATCCTCACAACTTATAAACTGTTGTTGTTTGGAAAAGAAAATGGTCATTTGTAATATTTTTTGTATGATTCAGAATATTTGCACGAGCAACGAGAAGCACAATTACAAGGGAAGCTTAAATGGGACAATTCATGTGGTGGCGGGAGGTGGAGGGGCGAGTCTTACTAATTTTGGAAACATCAATACTACTTGGAGTTTAGTCAAAGATGTTGACTATGGGTTCTTAAAACTCACGGCATTTGACCATTCTAACCTTCTGTTTGAGTACAAGAAGAGTAGTAATGGTAAAGTTTATGACTCGTTTGCGATTTCTAGAGCTTATAAAGATATATTGGCTTGTTCGGTTGATAGTTGCCCACCCACAATCCTAGCTTCTTAGGTTTAAATTTGTATATTCATCAATGTTTGAACTCAAATTAGTTCCATCTTTTGAGTTCTATTTTGTTGAATATTAACTTTTATAAACAATGGGATTTCAAAATACTATATTTGTTTGTGTGTGTGTGTGGATCAAGTGTAAAGAAGATGAAGAGGTAGAAAGATGCAAAATGTTGAATATTTTGAACTGTTAGGTTAATGAAGAGTTTTTGTGTGAGGAAATAGCATGCAAAAGGAACGTATTTAAGCCAATTTTTAATTTAGGGGACGGATGTTTACATTCATGTTATGTGGTTATAGCTTTATTTTATAGTCTTTTAAACATGATGTATGTTTCTTATAACACCGGCTTACCATTGAAAAAGATAAAAGAAAATAATAATAATAATAATGAGTGGTTAGATGAGTAATGTAAATTATCTTTTTATGTGTTAGATGACTTATTGTATGTTTTCTAAAGGCAACATCAGAAGGTAGTCGACCAAGTCTCATGATCAAGAACCCAAGCTCACCATTGTTGACTAACGTGTTTCTATGAACCGGCTTCTTGTGTACGTAAATATTTTGTATCTTTTATCTTTATTAGAAGTATTTCAGTGACTAGACAATTATATACACATCAAATTACAACAAAATAGAACTAATTAACAAAATAAATGACTAAATGAGTGAACAAAATAACCAAATGAGTTGTTATATTATCATGTTTGGTTGGTAGACCGAGGTTGAAAGAGCCATCCAAATATGTTAAACGAGTGAACAAAATATCCAAATGAGTTGTTAACTAGACACCAAAATGATATCAAATTAATAAATAAAAACAAAAAAGCTATTTTTTGAAAAAATTAAATTTTAATCTCAATATGGGGAAATTAAGTAATCTAACAACTTTTTAATGTGTAACAAATAGCAAAATAACCATTTGGTCCGGAACAAGAAAAAACTTTTTTTTTACTGATTCTGGAACGACATTCCGGACCAACATTCCGGACTAAAGTTTCGGATTTCGGAAAAAAATTGTCCGAAATCCGAAGAACAATTCCTACATTTCGAGAAAAAAAATTCATTTTTTTATTTAAATTTAACCAGAACTTGAACAAACATAGTAATGTGAACTATATATGATATTAGTGCATAACTATATTTTATTGAAAAACAATGACATTAAACATTTCGCGATTTAGCATTCAGAATCCAAAAAAAAAAAGATTTCTTTGAAAATTATAAAAAAAAAAAAATCGAAATATGAACGGTACTTCAGAACGAGGGCATTCCGGAAAAAAATGGTTCTTTTTCAAAAACTAATAATTTTTTTTTTAAATCTCATTTATAATAGTAAGATTACTTAATTTCCCTTAGCAGTTACCACTAAATAACTTACTAATACACATATTCGATGTCCATTTGAAATATATCTATGCATTTGTCGGTTTAACAGCTAGTCAAGCAAGCTTTTATTTATTATTTACAAAAAATGATTATTAAAATAAGGTTTCATCTACTTTACAATACACTAAACTATATTTCTATCCTTTTATTTTAATTATGAAAAAAATAAGAATTCTCAAGCTTTAAAAGGGATTTTTGTAAGAATTCTACAAACAAAAATACGTTTATAATTGTATGATATCATTTTATGCATGATAAAAAAATAAGAAAGAAAAAATATCCCTGCTATGTGAATTGATAGTAGGGACCAATATTGAACTTGAAAGTACAGAAACCGATTTGGAAAATTTGTAGGAACCGAACAGCAAACCTTTAGGTGTTATACGGTACCGGTACTGTGTAACACTCCATTTTCGCATTCCAATAAAATTCAAAATAAATCGTCGTTTATAAAATTCGAAGTAAAAATATATTACTTTTTAGAAAAATTAATCATCATAAACATGTAGGAAACGCCAATACGATTTCCGTAGATATAGAGAATGCCCGAATCCAACATCGTATGAAAAAGTTATGCTTTTCAAAGTTTCGCGATTAAACCGACACGGGTTAACATATCGTAAAAAGTGAATTTTAGATAGGTTGCTTATTAGCATAATCAATCTAAACGAAAGTCGTAGTAGTCGTAAAACAAAGAGTGTGCATATAAAGAACGTCCAAATATGACTTCGTGAGAGGAAGTTATTATGATTTTTCTAAGTTTCAGCATAGTAGTGCGGACACAGAAATCAGAATTCAAATTAAATGATTGTTAGCCGACACAATCTAAATGAGAGTTGAAGATCTCGTGAATATGAACTCGTCGATATAAAGACATTCGAGAACGGAGTTCGTATGAAGGAGTTATGAATTTCGCACGGACTTTAACAGTTTAAATTGGTCTAAATATGAATTTTAGTTAGATTGAGAATTAGTTGTTGAGACCTAAAGGAAAATTGTAGAGCTCATCGAGAGGATTCCGAGGATATAAAGAACGTTGAAAACGGACCTCGTGTGCGAAAGTTATGGTCGTCTGAAGATTTCAGGAAAATGACTTCAACGATGACGTGGTGGAACTAGAGTGCGCCACGTGGAAAAAGACGCGTTGGGCCCTCTACCCGACATGATGATGTGGCACCACAAGGTTGCGACACGTGTCGCCATACAAGCTTGACACGTGGCATGTTTTCTAGAAAAGGTGATGTGGACGAACCCGGACGAGACATGTGGCAAGCGACGGGTGGAGCCAGCAGCACGCATGGGCGCGACGCGCATCCCTTTTTCCCCTATAAATTCTTCTGATTTTCACTTCATTTCCACTCCAAATCATTCTAAAACTCTCTCAAACCTCCGAAATTCTTTAGGCCCAATTTTAGGGATTTTCGTTCGTCAGTATCGAGCTTCTAGTGCGTCAGAGGGTCCTACAAATAGGAGCTTTCGGGTCGGGATTCTATCCGCGCAATTTCCAGGTTTTTTGCTAAAATCTTTGTAAGTTAAGCTACACTTATTTTGTTTCAAGTGTAACTTATGTTTATGTTCATAGTCGTCATTATGAACCTATAAATAAGATTTATCAGTAATTCCAGTTATAATATTGATTGATCAACTTACAGGAGAGGTGCCTAGAATGATCACATTGGCTTGGTTGTTGGATTTTAGAAAATCAATATGCCTAAATGATCCTGCCTCCCAACTGTCTTGCCTAGCCGATCCTTATTTGATAGAACTCTCGGTATTCATTGGGATTAGTGAAAATCTAGTTTCCATTACCAGAATCCCATAGGAACTAATAAGTAATAGTATTATATTTTAATACTTGTTAGGCGCGTTAACCACCAGTGGGATCATCCAAAAAGCTGTTAATATTCTGAGAAACTGTCCAGGTGAGTAATCTCACTATACCATGTAGTACAATATATATCCATGTCTGTTAGGATAGATAGCTAGTAGAGTAGACAGTATAAATGTGCATGTATTAGTAGAATCTAAAGTGCAGTGTCTATGCGTAATTGTTGTAACATTTGACTTATATAGAGGGTGAGGGTGGAACGGTTAATGAGGTCGGGAGCCTATAGCCCCACATATATTTAGTTAGGGTATGATGGTGGAACGGTTAAGGAGGTCAGGAGCCCATTCTAAAATACAATCTTATTGGCAGATCATGAGTTATTGTTTGTATACATGTATATATATTGTGGTATATGGTAATTTGGGGAACTCACTAAGCCTAGTGCTTATCCAGTTGTTATAAATATTTTTTAGGTACTTATGAGAAGGGAAACGTTCGACTATACACACGCGCATTCGCAACATGTTTCCGCATAATGTAAATTACACTTTGATATATTTTCATAAATAAAAATGAAAATTTTGGGTTGAAAATCAGGACGTAACAAGTTGGTATCAGAGCCCTGGTTTGAGTGAACTGGATAAACACTCGTGCGATTCTAGACTCAAACTAAGGATCTGAGTAATTAACAAATCTTTTCATAAAAAGAATAATACAAAAAGGAAAGAATATGGTGCGTGCAGTCAGCCAAAGCTCAGAAAGGAAAGTGATTCCCAAAATATCCATATTTGTTATGTTTACCAATATATGAGATGTTAGAAATTCATGCTAGTATGTAGTCTAGGGATCTTTTCAGGAATTGTCGGTTAAAATTGTCTGATACTTAAGATGCCTTATAGTCTAGGGATTTTGTAACACCCGTGTTCCAAATTGGTTAAGCTTACTTTTATCAGGGACCGAAGATGAAGTTTTGGGGGAAACTATGTGCCACGACGTGGTGCAAGGATGCACACGACGTGGCACTGATTAAATAGATCGCGTCTCTTAGTGAGCCACCACGGCGTGCCCAAGGATGGCCACGACGTGGAAGCTATTCTGGCCCAAGCCCATGATTCTTTTAGGTTTTGCTTCGTATTTAAACCCCTCTAAGCCACTTTCAGGGTTCATGTCACACCCCCAAACCGGAACGGCGGAAACGTTCGGGGGCGGAGGACGTCATGCTCAGTATCACAACACATGCATCATAGTAATCAAAGTAACAAACAACCATTGTATAAATAATAAAGTGTTTACATTATATTTGATTCACAAAAGATTGACTCCAAAAGTAAATGACAAAACAAAGGCATGAAGCTACTATGCTCCATCTTCTGAATCCTGGTGTGCGTACCTGTCTATTAGTTTCCTAAGAATACAAGTTATTTTGAAAAAGTAGATCAACATTTTAAACTGGTGAGTTCATAAGTATTTATGTTATAAAAAGTATACTATAAGTTCTTTAGAAAAGTTCGCCTGTTCCTCTAGAAAATCCTATATTTTCTGATATGATAACATGATAAGTAAAAATGACTCTGCAATTCCTTCTATGAGTACTTAATGAATACAAGTTATATACAATCTAGATCAAACAGACAATCGATTGTGTGAATCTGCCCAAGCCCACAACCAAACAAGGAACAGGAAATGAGGCGGAAGTCATACATCCCATTGTTGGTTAGATCTCCATTGTATATAACCCTGGCGTATCCACTAGGTGCTTACGGAGTTAACTGTAATAGTTCTTTTATATTTAAAGAAAACATTCCTTAAGAAAATCATATATTTTCTTTAGTAAAATGGTAACCACAATAGTTCCTTCTATAATCACTTAGTTTATACTAGCTATATATAATCTAATATCGAACGGACAGTTAAATGTGTGAATCTGCCCTAAGCTCACAACCAAACAAGGAACATGAAATGAGGTGGAAGTCACACATTCCACTGCCTATCGGATATTAATTATATATAACCATGATGTATAAACTAAGGAATTATAGAATGAACCATTTAAGGTCCTTTATGTTATACTAGTTTAATAAAACGAATTAAACCTTTTATAGATAAGTTTCTAGTTTCACCTACTTAATGTTCTATACGAAAATTATGTTTTTGTACTAGAAAGTGGTATGCTGTATTTGTATGTTATGATCTGACCCATACCTGTTACCCCCTATGATTACTTGGTGTATACAGGCTATATATATATATATATATATAT